CCACCCCCCCAACCCCTTACATTTTCCGATACAAACAATCCCATACTAAATCCTATATATAGGGGGCACATTTCATATACGAGATTGAGTGCACCACAGCCGCGGTGGCACCGTCCGTAGCAGAGGAAAGAGAGAGAGAGCTTGGGGATATGGTCACGATGGGCACAGTCTCCTTTCGGAGGGGATCCCTACAATATCAAGGACCCCTTCGACAAGACGGCCCTTCGGCTGGCAAAGCCCCCGTAGCACGCCATATGGTCTCGCCGGGGGCGGGGGAGGTTGATAGTACAGAAGACGAGTCACTCTGAGACGAGTCGTCAGCGGAGAAAGGGGACTCAATTGAAGGCGAGAGCTCCGAGTCGGACGAGGACTTCGAGGAGGAGCAGGTGGCGGACAGGGAGAGAAATGAAGAAAAGGACGAGAGGAGGAGAAGGAGGGGGGAGGGGGGAGGAGGGAGGGCGAAGACTCTCGACGCGAAAGCGCTCGAAGAAACGGAGGTTTAAATTAGTCTTGTTGAGGGAGGTTAGGTGGAGGGGCTTGGGGGAAGTACTATATTGGCGAAATTGAGAGTGAAGGCTGCGATGTGGAGAGTGGCTTTTTGTGGAATTAAAAACGTACGTTGGGCGCGTTTTGAATTATGTCGAATGGAGCTTGAAAATTTTTCCGCCGGGAAACGAGCAGATTTGGTAGACACGTGTTTGATGGGTTTGAATTGTAGAGGACAATGTTTCCCCCTCCAGTGAAGGCGGGGCACATCGCACAGCGTCAAACCGAATGCCGGGCGCATGCCGTTGTCGTGTTCCCATGCACCGAGCCGTAGTGGTTCCCGTTGCTCCAGCAAGCAGCGGTACGATCCCCGATAGTAGCTAGCGGGCCCAGCCCGGCATCTTCCACTGGCCCTGCCAGAACGACTCTCTGCGCGGGTGGCGTTTCTGGCGGTGGGCGCTATGATTGCGTACCATGTTGATTTCCATTTAGAGGGGCAAGCCCTTCTTGTGGGTTGACTGGCTACATAGCATACAAACATCACGAGAGAATGGAATTGAGGGACCTCTGACACGTACTTTCGCGAGCCAGCTTCGCCCCCCCCCCCCCCCCTGCCCCCC